ATGAAACAGTTAATCACAAAAAGACAAGTATTATGTGATTACACTTATCTGAAGTACCTACAACAGGCAAATTCCGAGAGACAGTAGAATGGTGGTTGCCAAGGGGCTGGGGAGAGGGTGAAAGAGGAGTTTGTTTAACCATGAGGAGTTTCAGTTTAAGAAGATGAAAACAGTTCTGGAGGTAGATGGATGCAGAACATGAATGAACTAAATGCCACTGAGCAGTGCACTTAAAATTAATTAAGACAGTAAAATCTGTATATATAACTATACAAATAGAGCTCTACAATAAAAGTTTGGGGAAAGTACCCATAAACATATAACTGAATTTTTTTGAATGTGAACTTTGACAATTTAATGTTTATAATTTTCCTTTTTCCTATAGTTATAACCTTAATTTCTTCTAGCACACACACAAAAATGCAAATCTTAATAAAACATCTTGGAGAAGATATAACTAAATATATTGAGAGTCTACTAAGCTCTTATAAAGGCATTATTTTTGCAGAAATCTGGTCAGACTGTTTTAGAAATTGCAATCATGGTACCTAGCAATCCACAACCTGAGCGACCCACCCCAACTGTAGGCCCTGTTGTAAGGAGGGGCACTGTGCAGATGCAGAAGCCCAACATTCTTCACTGCACCAGGCAGCCCCCTGCTCACAGGTCAGCGCCCGAGTGTGGGTTATTAGAGAAAAGAGCTTGGTCAGTCTCTCTCTGAGGTGTGCTGGGAAAGGGAAGAGGATCAGACAGGTAGCACTGGGGACTGAGAGGCTGCAAGGTAGAGCTGGGTGGGGCCCAAGCTAGAGGAAGTCAAGTGTGCAGAAAGGAGGACAGAGCTGAGAGTAGTAGTCTAATTTCCTGAAGGCAGCCAAGATCCTTGGTGGGCAGGTGGATCCCATCAGAGCCTATTATGACTTGTATAAGGTGTTCCCCAAAGCTCCTGCTGTGTTAATGCAGGAATGTTCAGCAGAGAAATGATTAAATTATGAAAGCTGTAATCTAACAGTGGATTAATCCTTTTGGTGGATTAATCTATCTGGTGGATTAATAATTTGAATGGACTAATAGGGTGGCAACTATAGATAGGTGGTACATGGCTTGAGGAAGTAGGGGTGTGCCTTTGGGGTTTATATTTTGTCCCTAGCATATCTTCTCCCCACCCCACAACTCTGTTTGCTGGCTGTCAAGAGTTAAGCAGCTTGCCTCCCACACTCTTTCACCATAAGGTCTGCCTCACCTCAGGTCCGGGGCAAGGGAATCTGCCAACCATGGACTGAACCTCTGAAACTGTGAACCCCAAATACTTTTCCACCTCTAAGCTGTCGTAAGGTATTTTGGTCACAGTGATGAAAAGCTAACACAGAGCTGAACCATGGCTCCACTTGTCCAGACATTCAGCAATATGTTGATTCCAGGGGTCCCACTAGATTTCTTTATGCTTACTCCTGGTGACCACAGCAGACCTCCCTCTGCAGCCTCACCTAGAGACAGCTTTATGCTTGCTAGAGGATAAGCTAAGGAACACAGACCTTTAGAGTAGCAATATCATCCTGGGCACAAATAATCTCCCTCAGGCAGGGACACTAACAATTCATGCTGAGCAGCTTAACCCAAGGAGGGAAGAAAGGTACAGCCTCATGGCTTGACCTGTCAGCATGATCACCCCATATCATTTTAGGGAAAGGCCTCAGATGGTAAAATGAATCCCATTTGAGTATGTATGTGTAAATGCAGGGATCAAATCTGGGGCTTTGCGCCTGCTGAGCATGCACTCTGCCACCAAGCAACACCCCTGGCACAATAAATCCAAATGCTGTACTAGTTCACAGACCCTCAGTCTCTCAACCTGGCAGATTGGCAGTTTTCAAGATTAAGCTGTAGACCTTTATTCCCAAAATTTCTTAGAATTAAGAGGCTGCTCCATCCTCTCCGCAAGTCCCTAAGGCATATCCTTAGACTCACACAGCTTCAAAGGAACAATAGTTTTTAAATATAGATTTAACAACTTATTTGCTATAATATCACACTGCTTGCTCTCTTTGTGAATTTTTCAGAAACAATAAACTGGCAGCGACTGACAAAGTCTAACACCTACCTGCAGAGGGCAGGCAGCAAGCTAGGTAACTGGCACTCACTCTCATGTGCAGGACACTTGGCCACCTTTGGTGGCCAGGCCTACAGACACTTCTCAACAAATGACCGTGCCTTCTAGTCCTCAAATGTTCATCCATCTCCAGACTGAACTTTTTGCACACCATACATCCACTTTACATTTCTTCTTAAACAGCTGAGGACAGACCCATAACAGCTGCTCAGTCAGTACAACCAGTGGGTGACAGCCTTTCCTGCAGCCGTGGCTACCTACTTCTCTCACCCTCACAAACTTGCCTCACCATGAGCCTACACAGCTAAGCTGTTTCCCGTGCCCTGCTATTTGAATTCCTAGTCACCTCTGCCATCAACAAAACTGTGTCAGGAAGTGGGAAAAAGAACACATCCATCCATATTCCTAATAAAGAAGGGGCTCATTGTACATGAACTTGAATTGAAGAACTTGCTATGTGAACCTAAGGGGAAAAATATTTATCTGCAATAACTTCTAGCTGAAATTTAGCACTTCTTCAATGATAAAAGCAGATAATAAGCCCTGGAGTCTCAGCAGGTCAGTGACAGACATGTTCACAAAGCACAGGTTATCAGGGAAATCTCACTACTACTACAAAAGACTTACCAGAGCCACTGAAGGGTGATGTACTGTGTTAACAGAAGGCTCAGATTGGACTCTATCAATAATTCGGTTCAATGTTTTGATGACTATTTCAAAATCATTGGTTCTATTCCTGAAATTTTTATTTTGGCCTGGGAGAGTCAAGGTCCCTGAGGTCTACACTCTGCATCACTTTCTCACCTTCAGGCTTTTCTTTTAAAGTTTCAGACAGTTAACAATTAGAAACAAAAATGAAAATTGTAAACAGAAATGTTACTACTCAAGTAACGACCATTTCTGCTACTCACAATTAGGACTTCCCTGAAATTAGGTTACACTGTCACAGAAATGTAACTAAATGTAAGCTAGAGAACAGGAACTTCAGATCATTAACCAGGTAACTTGCTGACACTTAAAATTATAAACAGAGATTGTTAATCTTTAGAACTGGCCATCCTTCACGGGACAAGTTTACTCAATTCTAAAGCACACTTAACTTTTCAATACTTCAACCGGCCCGCTAAGAAAGCAGTGCATCCATAGGAATTGTGAGCAGTGGTACCTAACACAAGGGTACATTTTAGATCCATCAACTACTGCAGCTAGATGATCCACACATCACTTTCCACCCTACATACATTAAAGAACAAGAGATGAAGAAGATGAGAGTCGGTGTGCCACCTTCCAAGTCAACCAGATTCGACTGCATCACCAGTAATCGTACTGGCAAACACGTTGGCAGTTCACTTAGACTCATCTTTATAATACCCACCGAACACTCCTTTTTTCAGCATCATGACATGAGGCCTAAAGCTGGGGTTTTCTTCTATCCTTTGACGAAAAGTACCAACATCTTCAGGAAAAATCGGTGACTTTTACAGTAAGCCACTCTCACAAGCTACCTAAATGATGACGTTAGAGCCCCTGGTCTATGACAAATCCATCTTGAACTGCTGCAAGTCTGCCATCAATTTAGCGAAGTGCAGGCGCCGCTCCCGGCTCGTACCGCTCTACGCGCAGCACCGTCTACGGGGTAGAGGATCCGAGCGTCCTAGGCGGGGCCGGCGGTCGCTCCGGGGCCACTCTCCAAGCCGGGCATCGCAGGGCACCGCGGAACCAAGCAGGCGAGTTCTCTCACAAGGAACGTGCGGTCCACCGCGGGGACACCGTGCCCAACTCTTCCCCAGGAGCTACTCGGACCGGCTCTGTCTAGCGCACACTGGAACCCCTCCCGGAACCCCCACCGGCC